TCCAGTGATCCAGCTGGCTTGATAGGGGGGCAATTAAATCAAATATTTGGTCGAGATCACAAAGGGAATTAGTGACTCGACTGGGGGAAGAAAGTTGGACTGGGAAAACTGAAAATACCAGTTCCCATTGTGGGACAGTTTCTCAGTAGCATTTAAGTAAATTAAGGGGCAGCCTATTGTATTTCAGAGTCATCTGCACAAACTGCTGCATTGTATAGACTGAATTTACACCAGTGGGAAAACGGAGAGGCAGAAGGAAAACTGAACAAAAAAAAAAAAAAAGAATACTTTCATGTGACAGATATCTTAACAGACACACCAGATAAAGAAAAGAAAAATTTAAATTAAAATTTGTGTTCCAAAGCTTTTCGGTTTTGTAGGTATCACTTTTAGAGGAAAAGTTTTTAATGAGTCTTTCTTGCTTGCCTTTAGTCGTGTACTAGCCAACCTTTAAAAACTGGTTTCTTTTCCAGGACTTTTCTAATTGACAGGTGTTCCTTTGTCTCTGTTGTTTATTAAATTTTCCTTTTGCTATTTTTTAACAAGCTAGAGACATGTCAGTACTATGATGGGACTATCATGTCAGTGTGATACTCCTTCTTTCATCAGGAGGATCAGATGACTGCAGAAGACTTTTCCCTGCTGCATGCATTGATTACTGATAAGAGTAAGGAGTTGTCATCTTCTGTGCTAACAGAAGGCAATGACATGTGCACATTAGCTCACAATTGGCATCATAAAATGTGATGGTAAAGGAAGAGTGAGTTTTAGTGTTTTCTGATACGTCTTCAAGGGCAGAACGTAACGCTCCAGCAGGGACAGAGACTCCTGCAATTGCTTTGCACCCTCTTCCTCCTTCCAAACCTGACCTCCCTTCTCTAGGCCTTTCATTCCCTCCAACATCAATTTTTCAACAGTTTTTTTGTCTTCGTACACTCTTCATTTCAGCCTCAGTCTCCTGACTTAGCCAGTGCTGCCTTTCTGCCTGGCTCGCTGCCCGAGTCCCCCGCTGAACTCAGGATGTGGTTCTGCCAATCTAATTGTGGGCTGCTACTGAAAGGGGTTGTGCATCCCATCCCTCCTGCTGCCTGTCCTGGGCTCCCCTGGGAGCTGAGTCAGGGAACTAAACTTGCAGAGATCCTTTTCTTTCAGTTCAGCTCCCTGAATCAGGTCAGCCTGGGGTAAAATGAACCCCAGTGCTAAAAATCCCAGTCGGGGTGGGAAGGGACAGGGGAACAGAGAGAGGAGGGACCATCCTCTTTCAGCAGCGCTCGATAATTAATGTGAGATTCATCACTAAACTTCATTTTCAGCCCCAAACTCCTCACCCTGTCTTTCCTGTGCTCCACTTTCCCTCTTTAGCCCTCTTCCTAAGGGGTTCCCATTTGCCCCTGCCCTTTCTGCTCCCTTCCCAGAGACACCCATCAGCTCATGCCAGCTGTCTTGCCCAGCTGCTTTTTTCAGCATCACACCTGTACTTCACTGACCCCTCACAGACAGACCTTACCAGTACCTGCAATTGCTGTTTCCAAAGTATTGGCTCAAGAGGAGAGAAAAATGGTTTGCAATTAAGGCAGATGCCTCATTTTTATATACTCCTCTCAAACCAGCTCTAACTAAGAAGCTTTTTTTACTTGTCCATGAAAACAAAACCCTGAAACTGAACTCTGACGGCATGTGTTATAAAATGGATGGAAACCCTGACAGTTATGAAATCCCCACAAACTGAGCTTTCCTCGCTCTGAACCCTTTGTATTAAAAATAAGCAGTGAAATAGTTTTCAACAATAGTTAGAGGCTCTTGTTCCTACTGTAAACAAATGCTGAATATCTGGGCAAAAGTCTCGTCTGTGTAATGCAAGTCAGCTCCCATTGCCTTCCCAGGAGTTATGGTGCTATATGTGAGAGCAGAATCCTGTCTCTGGGAATAAAGGAGTTTTTTCAAGAGTGAGGGGGCTCTGCACAATGAATGCTTTTTTTACCAGCCCTTTCTGATGCACTGGCAAACTCCCAAACACAAGAACTGTTTCTGTAGTCTTTCTACTCTCACAATGACACACATTTTCTTTTTCATTTTTAGTGGGAAGTCTTTTGTAATTTTTCTTTTCCTCATGAAAATGCACGTTTTATGTTTCTTGGTACTTTGTACAGTGAAGTAGAAAGTGTTTCTCAGTCATGGTATTTTTGAAGTTGGTCCTTCCTGAGCTTATCCTGTATCTTCTAATTTCAGCTTCAAACGTAGCTGAAGATAAAGGAGCAGATTTGAGCCTGATGGATTCGCCTCTTGCAATTCAAAAGCTGCTTTGAGACGAGACTGGGCAGGCCCTGTGGAGGTTCCAGCAGCTCAGGGAGCTATCCAAGTGGTGCCAAAGTTGTGTCATGCTGTGGTCCACCCCAGACCCGAACTATAAAAGAAGGGGGTGGCTTTCTAGTCTTCAGGAATTCTCCCATGGGCCAGAGTGAAATTGCCCTTAGCAACACAAAAAAAGAAAAATTAACTTGGGCTGAAGAACTGTACTGTAAACGACTGCAATCTTGCTTCCTATCATATTTTATTTTTTGCCCAGAGTTCTGCATGACAGTTTTTTAAAAGGACTTAGCATGTACATTTGGACAGTTAAAATTTTCCAAGTTTGGATTTATTTTTGTGTTAAATGGTTTACATTTTTATCATCATCAAACCTTATTTTCTTGTGGGTGACTCAAGGTGGCTTTCTCCCTGTTGTGCTTTGGGAAGCACCAATACAGCTGGTCCTACCAATTACACAAAGATCTGCCAGGCAGGTAAAGCAGCCTCTCCAGAGAAGCAGGAAATTGTGAGCTGAGGAGCATTCCTAGTGCTGGATGGTCTGTAAGGTGAGCCCAAACTTTTCCATGGTCAGACACCCACATTCAGAACCCCCAGTGTCACTCACTCCTTTCTCTCTGTGGAACCAACTCAAATATTTCAGTAACCACCTGACACACACAATTGGATTTCTTCCAAAGCTGAGTTAAAAGCTGTGGAAAGTGTATCTAATCTTGTTTTTAAAATGCAAGCAAATGTGTACCCAGTATCTCTCCTGATATAAACTATTTAAATATTTAATTGCCCTCACAGTCAGAAAATGTCAACATCGGGTTTGTCTAGCTCCAGTTTCCAGCAAATGGATACCATTGCCTTTGCCAGCGAGGTTGAAAAGGTCAAACTATCAAGATTTCTTTCCTATATTTAAGTACCTACTCAAAGTAATCCACTCTCTTGTGCAGACCAAAAATCTTCAGTGGTTGCTGGGTAATACTAGTTCCTCTAATACTTTGCTTTACATTTTCTTTATTTCTCTATTTTTTAATATGAATATGTTTAGATGTTGACATTTCATTGCATAATGTAGGGCTTGGTTTTTCCTTAGAGACAATCTGATTTTTTTGTAATCTGTATTAACTCTCCCGGCCTTTGCATCCAGCAAACTTTAATGTCATTGAATCAGTTTGGTGCCCCATTCCAAAACATGGCTATAGGTACATTTTGCTGATGTGTTATATTCCCTAGGAGTGTAGGATACCTGTTTGAATCACCTGGGAAAAATAATTCAGCAAAGCGGTTGTTGGAATGGAATGACAGTCAGTCTTTTGCTCGGTGACATTTAGAAGGAAAATACAAATGGAGAGAGCTTATTTTTGGCCTGAAATGGAATCTGATTGGTGTGACACAGCGTAATTAGTGAGGGATAGCTATTTTCTGCTGTTGTTTTACAGCAAATGGAACGATTTGGATGATGTACTGTAACAGAAGAGGCCTTTGGAATCAGACAGGCGGGAGGCAAAGAGGTTTGTTCTCTTTTATACTTTACTGCTTTCTGGCATGAATTATAGGGCAACCATCATAAAGATTAAAACTAACCATGCTGGCTATATATTTCCTGTTCATTAATTAGCCCTCTTGTTTAAGGTATCTCTTATATGGTTTCTGTTACATTTTAAGATGTAGTCTGGCATAGCTTTTTCACTCCGGTTTTATCTCTGGCTTATTGACTATTCTGAGAACTGCTCTGATGTAGAACTTTCCTGTTACACTTCAGTTTTGCAAAGTCTCCAGGTATTGATTGCCATTACTGATGCTGTTGAGAACCCTGGGAGGGAGCACCCACT